GTGGTTATCTACCATTTTCAAAAAAAATGCATAATTTTATGTCTTACTTATCAACGGGAAGCTGAAAAAGACTCATCATTTATGCATCTTCCTTCCTCTGACATTTTAGAACAACGTCAAGTTTAAGTCTTCGAAAAATTAAATAATATTGCTTTGCGTTAAAAGACGAAGACTTTAAGTAAGTTTGTGTTTGGACTCAAAAAGAACTGTCGACTACATATTTAGTTCTTCAACCACTAAAATGCTGAAAACGTAGACGCAACTACAGAACGAATTGAATTTGCTGGAAATTGCCGTGTAAACTAATTTCTTTGAAATTTTAAATTGACTTTACTTTTAAACACAATGATTTCGAAGACGCGAGGTAGCGCCAGCAGTGAAAACAGTCACACTGCAAAAATGTAATGTCGGTTTGATTAAAAATTAATTAAAAAACAAAATAAAAGAAACAAAATAAAAATATAAAAAATGCTACTCTATTATAAAATGTACAACTTGAAGGCATGTAAATTATTAATACTTTATCTGCTTACCTCAGAATAGCCGACCTACACCATACAGCTTTTCCATCATTTTATGCTAATTAATAATTCCTTTTTAGAGTGTGATATAAGTGCAACGAAAAACGAAACCCACAAAACTCTTACATCGACCGGTTGATCAAAGCCTAAAAGAAATACATTTCATCGTCGGTTTCACAGCAGCATTCTAACCTAAAGGTCCGTCTAAACATTTCATTATAGTTGATGTTTGAAGTTTAATATTTTATATATTTCCTCTTTCTTCTAAACCTCTTCCTGTGCACTTGATGAACGCTCAAGGATTTCCATAGTTCTTTGTTTAAATAATTGAAAAAAAAAAAAATGTGGCATAATATGTTTTATTTAACAGCAGTTTGATCACGTTTTTATTTTTAACTCGGCTCAACTACTGACCAAAGTTTAAAAGCTAAAAAATAAATGACTTTTAATACCTTGTTTTTACTCATGCAATGCCACTGTTTGCTTAGTACTGTCGTACTTTATCTCCTTAGGTAAGAAGTAACGCCGTGGAAACGGAAATTACTCAGGACTGACAGCTGCTCTCAGATATTAGTATTCAACTGAAGCAATGGATATTTCGACCAAGAATTAAAATCCCAATTGAGTCGTTTCCCACCCGCGTTATTTATCATTCTTTCGCCATAAAACCTAAGCGAGATTTCCACTATTGGTTTATTTCACGCGCTTTAACGGGCGTGAATTTAAATGGTTTTCACTGTGTTACTACATGCCTCAACGGGAGGTAACTTTGACTTGTAGTGGTTATCTACCATTTTCAAAAAAAATGCATAATTTTATGTCTTACTTATCAACGGGAAGCTGAAAAAGACTCATCATTTATGCATCTTCCTTCCTCTGACATTTTAGAACAACGTCAAGTTTAAGTCTTCGAAAAATTAAATAATATTGCTTTGCGTTAAAAGACGAAGACTTTAAGTAAGTTTGTGTTTGGACTCAAAAAGAACTGTCGACTACATATTTAGTTCTTCAACCACTAAAACGCTGAAAACGTAGACGCAACTACAGAACGAATTGAATTTGCTGGAAATTGCCGTGTAAACTAATTTCTTTGAAATTTTAAATTGACTTTACTTTTAAACACAATGATTTCGAAGACGCGAGGTAGCGCCAGCAGTGAAAACAGTCACACTGCAAAAATGTAATGTCGGTTTGATTAAAAATTAATTAAAAAACAAAATAAAAGAAACAAAATAAAAATATAAAAAATGCTACTCTATTATAAAATGTACAACTTGAAGGCATGTAAATTATTAATACTTTATCTGCTTACCTCAGAATAGCCGACCTACACCATACAGCTTTTCCATCATTTTATGCTAATTAATAATTCCTTTTTAGAGTGTGATATAAGTGCAACGAAAAACGAAACCCACAAAACTCTTACATCGACCGGTTGATCAAAGCCTAAAAGAAATACATTTCATCGTCGGTTTCACAGCAGCATTCTAACCTAAAGGTCCGTCTAAACATTTCATTATAGTTGATGTTTGAAGTTTAATATTTTATATATTTCCTCTTTCTTCTAAACCTCTTCCTGTGCACTTGATGAACGCTCAA